GAAGAAGAAGAAGAAGAAGAAGAAGAAGAAGAAGAAGAAGAAGAAGACTAAATCCCATTTTTATTCAGGAAAGAGATGTTGACCATGTACAAAGTTTGTAACAAGCACAAGAGGGCTATTTTACTAAATGTCCAGTTTTGGATCTGATGGAATCCATACGGGATTAATAACATTTGTCCCACTGGCTCGACGTGGGGGGAAAAAAACGAGTAACTCAGTAGAAGGAATCACATTTCAAGTTTTCCTTGGGATAATGATAGAGGCTCCAAGAATCCAGACTACATTCCAGAAGAAAAAAGATCTCTTTCCCCCCCCTCCCCACTCTATCCACCTACCCACTGACCAAATTGAAAAGCCAAAAGCTGAAAAGCAACATTCCCTCCCCCTTCTCCCACCCACCCCCCTCCCAATTTCCTTTCTCCAAAGTGGCATTTCAATCAAGCAGAGCAGAAGAAAGCTTCAAAAAGTACTTCCAGACAGACAGGTGCCACTTAACTGCAATACGAGAAGGAGGGAATCATTTCCCCCCCCCCTCCCAACTCCTTTGCTGCCGGGCAGAAGGCAATGTGGGAGGTTGGCCAAAAAACGGTTGAATAAGTGACCAGGCTACTGATAAACGACCTATCTCTTTCCCAGCGCAAAGAAGAAGAAAAAGGGGGGGGGGTGTACATTTAAAAGCAATCACTTACACCCTCTTCCCTACTGCCAACAATACTTTCTCCTCCTCTGGCTCAGCAAGAAGCAAAAGTGCTCTCCAGTCCGAGTTCAATAAGGCTACTACGAGAGTAACTGCCCTTTCCGGGTCAAAGACAACAGAGCAGAGTCTCGGGAATCAAGTTCTGGACTCCAAGAGAGTTTGGTTTGAGGGGGGACCGGACACTCTTGCAATAAAGCCAAAGGCCTTGACCTGTTAGAGCCAAACCTATGCTCAGCAGGGATGCTCCAGAGTCTCTGGGAAGGATTCAGGGTTGGCCACCCCTGCCATTACTTTAATACTCCAGACACCAACGAACAGTTGCAAAGCTGTTCTCTCAAGTAAAAGGATGGAATAAAGGTAGCGGGGAAAGACCAGCATTTGAACAGCCTTTTAATCAACCTCTCCTTGCAGCTTCGGGGAATACCCCCCCTCCAAAAAAACCCACCACCACCACAGGTCAACCCCCTTCTGCTGGACATCTAAACCAAAGAAAGGCACGCCGGAGACCCCCACGGAGGACGAGAGTAGTAAAACTTCCCCCAGCGCCTCTGGGAAACTAGGCATCTAGGAAGCGGGAGGGGAAGAAGGCGCAAGGCGGGAGAGGACCGCCCCCCCCCCGCTCCCCCCAGGTACCTTCCAGCCCGCGGAGCTGTTGCTGTCGCCTTTATCCTTAAAATAGGGCACGTATCGGACCATCCAGTCGTAGATCTGGGAGAGGGTGAGCCGTTTCTCCGGGGAACTCTCGATCGCCTTGGTGATGAGATCCGCGTACGACAGGTTGCCCCAAGCGTTCCGCCGCGAAGTCTTGGCTTTGCGGAGCTGTCCAACGTCCGCGCTCAAAGAAGGCAGCGCCGGGGTCGCTTTGCCACGCTCCGCCGCCACGCCGGCGTTCTCGGCGCCTTCGGTGCCGCCGGCCAAGGGGTGCTTCGGGGCGCCGCCGCCGCCGCCGCCTCCTCCTCCTCTTCCTCCCGCACCGCCGCTTCCATCGTCGTCTTCGCCCGGAAAGTCGGGGTGAGGCAGCGGCCAGGTGCAAGAGCGAGGCCGACTCTGAGGTTCAAAATCCGGGTCGATGTCAACCTGATGCGCCTGCAGCTTCTCATCCATGGTCCTCCCCCGCCCCCCCCCCCGGCCGCCCTTCCCCCCCCCCCCCTTTTGCCCCCCCTCCCTCTTTTTTTTTCCGCTTTATATCCCGGGAAAAGGGAAGCGATGGTTTTCCTTTGTAAAAGAAAGAAAGAAAGAAAGAAGAAGAAAAAAAAATCCTGCCAAAGGTTTCCAACCTCCCCGCCCCAAAAAGCGTCGACTGGCAGCTCCGGAGCAGACGGCGCGTTAGGAAGCGACGCTCCGCGGCGGCAGCGGCAGCGGCGGCGGCGGCGGCGGCGGCATCGCACCAAAGTGGGTCGGGGAGGAAAAAGGGAGAGAAAAGAGCGCGAGGGAGGCGGGCTTGGTTGGAGACGTTGCTTCGGCGGCTTCGGGGAGGAAGGTGCGTCGGGGGAGCGGTGGGGAAGGGAGGAGGGAGAACGAAGAGCGGCACGGAGCCCGGAGAGTCCGCAAAAGGCAGCCCGGCCGGTTCTCGGGAGGCTCCGGCAGAAGAAGGGCAAAGGACGGCCAAAGGCGGCGGCTTTGCTCCAGCGCCAGAGAAAGGCGAGGGGAACGCCCGTGCGAGCGAGCAACAGATGAGCAGCTGGAGCGTCGGAGAGACTCGGCGGGCTTTCGAGGGTTGCCGTGCAGCTTTTCCGGGGAGACCCCAGGCTCGAGGCCAAGGCAGTTCGAGGCTGGCAGTTCCAAGCGGGGGAATCTCTTTCCTTTTTTCCAAGCCGCGTGAGAAGCTCAAAATAGGCCCCCAAATCTATGGGTCTGTATCTCAAAATTCAAAGGACGGTTCGGGCGTAAGCGGGAGAATCCGCCGCTAAGGAGTCCGGAGACAGGGATGGAGGCGCGGGGCGAGCGCCACCATGATCGCGCCGTCCCCTTTCCTCGACGACGGCGGAGACTCGCACCGGGAGCCGGCAGGCACCGGCTGGACTGGGCAGCCGATTGGCCAGGCAGCCGGAGGCGCGCTCTGACGATTAGCACCTGCTGCTGCTGCTGCTGCTGGCAGGCTCGGGGCGGCAGCCAGCCCTGGTCGCCGTCGCTGTCATCTTCCTGGCCAACCCGTCGTCTTCCTCCTCCTCCTTCTGCTTCTCCTCCCGCTGCTGCTGCTGCTGCTGCTGCTGCTGCTGCTGCGCTCGTGCCGCCCCGAGCGGGCGCCGCCTCTCTCTGGGGACCCGACGGGATGGCAACATGCTGAGGAGGAGGAGGAGGAGGAAGAGGAGGAGGAGGAGAAAGCGGCGGAAACGGCGGCGGGAGCGACCGCCACTCTTCCCTTTCTCTGCTCCGTTGCCCTCTCGTCACCCGGGCGCCGAGCGGACCGTGCCTGCCGCGGACAAGCAGCGCGCACGCGGGAAGGGCAGCCGACGAGACCGCCAGGCGAGCCGGCCGCACTTCGGGGGTGGGAGAGAGGGAAGGGCCGGCCCGGTTGGATGGGGAGGGGAGGGGAGGGGGGGAGAAAGGCGGGGCCTCACCCAGCACCTAACACGAGGGCGAGGTGGTGGTGGAGGAGGAGGAGGAGCGTGGTCGCCTCCCTCCACCCACCCAGGCTTCTTTGCCCGCGTTTCCCCGGCTAGTGGCCGGCTTTTTTTAAAAAAAAAAAGAAGAGACCGGACAGTCCCTTGTCTGAAATGCTATCTTCTATATGGTATCTACTGCTAGAGCGGCGGGGGTGGGGGTTGGACTAGAAGACCTCCAAGCTCCCTTCCAGGCTCTATCCTGATCGACGGGTTGATTGTGCCAAACTCGCCCGCCCCTGACCCCGCAGTCCGACTAGGCACGTGACCCCAACACGCCGGGTATTTCCCAGGGAAAGGCGAGCGAAGCAGCTGCTGCTTGTAGCAGCAGCCAACGGACCACAAGGCGGCTTCGGCCTCCGCCCGGGGACCCTGCTGTCTCGACATCCCCGGCCGTCCGGCTGCGGTCACACCAAAGTGCCCGGCCGGCCGATGCGCTTTGTTCCGTTCCCCCCCCCTGCCCCCAGGGTTGGGGCGAAGGTGCTTTGGAGGCGCATGGGAGGTGTAGTTTCCCCCCCCCATACACACACACGTGCGTTCTGGGTGAGAAAGGGGAGGGGGGGTTCTCGCTCTTTCTCTTCACACCCAGGCTTGGAAATAGGGGTTGAGCCCCTTCCCTGCACGGTCTGCAGGGTGCACGAAGCCCGGGGGTGGGGGAGGATTATCTGCGAGACGCTCCTCCGGACAAGCCGGGCAGGACCACCGCCGCGACCAGCCGGCTTCCTCCCCGTCTGGCAATGAGGCTCAGCTGGTCTCCTGGCCCCGCCCACCCATCCACCCGCCGGGCTCTTCCCCCCTCCCTCCCCGCCCCCGCTAGCTTTTCCTGGGTTTCTCCCTGACTTGCTCCATTATCGTTACACTGACCTGACCCTGTGCCCGCCTCCTGATTGGAAGGAGCGCGGCACATGACCTAGACCTCCGCGCTCTCATTGGCTCGATCCCAGCTAGCGTTTTCGCTGGGGGGGGGCGGGGAAATGTGGGAAGGGAAAGGAGGCAGTGCAGGGGAGACGCGTTTGGCGGGCGAAGGGAACCTCCCCTCCGTTTGGCGGGCGAAGGGAACCTCCCCTCCGTGAGAGTCTACGCTTCTTGAGTTACCCGCGGGTAACCCAGGGCAACGAATCTCACCGGCTGGACCCCCTCCGTGAGCGAAGCCACGCCCCACGGCTTCGACCTATCACGCCGAGGCGAAATCAGCGCCCCGCCCCCCTCCGCTCTTGCCCTGATTCTCTTGCCAGCGAAAAGGGCGGCGTTAGCCACGCCCACATCCCCTCCAGGCTTCTCCTCGAGCGGCGTCTCCTCAGCGGCTCTTCACAGTGACCCAGATCGAGGAAGCCTCCTGACGACGCGGGTTTGCGTCGATTCAGGATGAAGTCCTGCGGATTTTCGGCGGGATTTTCAAAGTCGCCCTACTTCCACAGAAGCTGGCACGAGCTTTCTCCGTTTACATTTTACGGAGGCAGTTCCGTCCGTCATTTAAAAACAAAACGAAACACTTATTTTCTCGGAAACTCTTCAAACGGCTATCTCGGCTTCAGACGTTGCAGTGAAAAAAAAAATAATGATAATGATGTGAATAAAGGAGGGTGGATATGCTTGCAGCGGTTGGTTCTGCCCGTTTGCAAGCAGGCACCTGGCTTAAGCAAGGGAGCAATTCACCGGGTGTCCTGAGATGACACAACGTGCCTCACTACACACACATAATAAATACAAGGGCTGGGTTGGTGCCTCAGCCGCGCTAGCCTAAAGTAATCTTCCTAATGCGCTTCTAGTGCTCTAATTACTAACTTCACACTACGGCAAAACGACAAATTCACAGATAATTATCTCAAACCCAAGCGCCTCTGGGTTTTAGCGTTCGTCGTGATTCGCCTTTTCCTTGCAATTAAGTCGTTCAGATTTGGCCATTGTTCCTGCCATAACTTTGAATGCTCTTTCCCTTCACACCCGTATTTTTTTCCTCTCTCTCTCTTTTTAAACCCATTTCTCAAATAAATACAGCGATACGTGGTGTCCATTTTACTAATCTTTTCTTAACCATCTTTGCCAGACTTCCCAAAAGGCTCCCATACATTTCTTTGTATGTTGTATGTTGTACATTGTAAAAGGGAAAGCCCAAAGATATAGTAAATATATCACCAAAATCCACAGTCATGGATACACACATACGTACATGAAATATTAGAATTTTTCAATGGAATAAAAATATACAGTACAAACAAGACCAAAGGTCAGAAAGTAAGAAATAGAGAAGAAGAAAAGGGGGGACAGTTATGTCTTCCACCATTCTATCAAGTAATTACCATTATAAACTTTCGCAAACCTCATCCTTTTTAATCCCCAAATCATCACTTTGATTTTTTCTTTCAGCAAGAACTCCATATCCAGAGTCCCTCTTGTAACCAGTTGTATTACTTTGGAGGTAATTTAGAAATGTGAAACATGACTAGATAGATAGATAGATAGATAGATAGATAGATAGATAGATAGATAGATAGATAGGGATGGTTTCCAGTTTTTTTAAAAAAAAGCCTTTATCATTTTTTCTCTGAACAAACTGTTCATTACAATCATGCATTTGAAAATAAGCTGAGATACCAATTGCAAAAACCCACATATACACCACAAAGGAAAAATGAAGTTTGCACCTGGCAATCAAATTCCAGTACATTTAAGCTAGAGGGCAATAACAACCTGAGAAACATTTCTTTATCCCTAGAGCAAAGAGTGACCCAAAGGGATCACTCAGTTTCAAATGTCATCTTACTAGCAGTGTCAAACTCGGTAAAATAATAACATTTGTTAGCAGTCAAGAGATTAGCATCAGAAATCTTGCTGGCTTTGGAGCTGTAAAATCCCACATCAGAAAATCATGAAAAAAAAAACATTGCAAATGGGCAAACATGTTTTATATGTTTATAAAGGTCCAATTAGAGGTGCTTGGCATCTCCAGTTCAAAGGATGAGATATAAAACAACAGCAAAGACATCAATTTGAGGAACCTGGAGAGATGCACCCCAGTAAGAAAAGACAGTACTGAGATTGGTGAAGCAATGCTTCTGCCTGATACAAGGAAGCTTCTTAACATTTTTCTCCCTTACATACACAAATTTATCTAAAGTTATAAAAGGTTATAAACTGGAGGTTATAATTAAGTTTGGATGCCGGTGGCTCAGTGGCTAAGACGCTGAGGTGGCGATCAGAAAGGTCGGCTATTTGGCAGTTCGAATCCCTAGCGCCGCGTAACGGAGTGAGTTCCCATTACTTGTCCCACCTTCTGCCAACCTAGCAGTTCGAAAGCATGTAAAAATGCAAGTAGAAAAATAGGGATCATCTTTGGTGGGAAGGTAGCAGCATTCCATGCGCTTACGGTGTTTAGTCATGCCGACCACTTGACCACGGAGACGTCTTTGGACAGCACTGGCTCTTCTGTTTTGTGACAGAGATGAGCACTGCCCCCTAGAGCCGGAAACAACTAGAACGTATGTGCGAGGGGAACTTTTA